TCTATTTAAATAAACTTGCCTCACCTCTCCTTTATTGAAGATTTCACAATAGAGAGAAATGTAACAAAGTGTGAGAGTGCAAACCACAAAAAAGATCTATTGTTCATGGAAAGCCCACTGTTAGAAGCACTAAATCTAAAAAAAAAAAGGGAACATCTCAAGAAAAACCCAAGATCTATTTTCCTTGCACATACGTTAAGTGACCAGAAGAGGGAGCTCTGACCGCAGTTAATCTCATCAACCTGAATTTAAAGGAAGATATTTTCCTGAAAGTCAGCAGCAGCAAAGAGGATTTTACAGCACACTTTCACTGACACAAAGTATCATATCAAGGGATACATTTTAGACAAAAATTGCAATTTCTGCCAAGAAAATTTTCACAGCAAGCTGAAAGCTCAGCTTCATTCAGGGATCTCCAATCTTTCCATTGCCTAAAATAGAAAAGATCAGAAAAGGTGGAGCAATCAGCCTGAAAAATATCACAGATGTTAATGCAGCATCTATCTATGCAGCAGATAGATAGATAGATAGATAGATAGATAGATAGATAGATAGATAGATAGATAGATAGATAGATAGATAGATAGATAGATAGATAGATAGATAGATAGATAGATAGATAGATAGATAGATAGATAGATAGATAGATAGATAGATAGATAGATAGATAGATAGATAGATAGATAGATAGATAGATAGATAGATAGATAGATAGATAGATAGATAGATAGATAGATAGATAGATAGATAGATAGATAGATAGATAGATAGATAGATAGATAGATAGATAGATAGATAGATAGATAGATAGATAGATAGATAGATAGATAGATAGATAGATAGATAGATAGATAGATAGATAGATAGATAGATAGATAGATAGACATTCTAGAGACTAATTTTGCAACTAAGGTTGTTTTCCAGTAATGGTGACTTAACAAAAAGAACTGGAAGTGCTTATTAAATCTATTTCATCAGTGGGATCCAACATTTTCTTTTGTTTCCCCGTGCAAGTTTGAACTCCATTCAAGGCCATGGTGACTTGCTGGATTTTATTGGTAAGAGATAAGGATCCAACTTTGAATATCTGTTTGAAAAAAATATTTAATACCATTACAATTTCTCTCTTTTGGTGCATTTCATTTCTTAAATGTTTCTTTAAAAGTTAATATTACACAAAGCACTTGTGTGTTACACGGATAAGCAAAAAAAAATAAATAAATAAATGAGTTATGGTTTTCCTCCCCACTGTATACTTACCAACTATATTTTGTCAACTCACCACATAGGTAGATCATCAAAAAAATAAGCTAGGGGTGAGCGAGCCATTGGGGTAGATTTGCATAGAGACCATGGGGACATGTCCCTACCAAAAGTTTGGCCCAACCTACATGTCCCTACCAATAATTCTGTGAATATAGATATTTATAATTTACAATACAGAGTTGTTGCTGCAGTCGCTTCTTTTCTCACAACTTGTATATTGAAGTTAATATTTAAAATGCTCAGTTTTAGCTCCTCTTATAATTCCTGCACCCATGTAAATACAATAAATCTATTTGCAGCCCCTTGAATATGTTATTTCACTTTGTTTTACAGTACAGAGAATATCAGCATATCACACAAAAATAATAAGAGTGGGTTTAACCTCTGTGTCCCTCTGCACAATTCTATTTCTTCAAAAGAAAACACCGGATAAATGCACATACAACAGACATATTTAGACTATATTTGGTTAAAAAGGCACATATTTACCTTCTGTCTGAGTCAATGGTAAGTTCAAATGTAACCCTTTTCAAAGTGCTAAGTTGTCAAAATTTTACATTATTCTGAGCCACTTATGCTTCAAACATTGATAAACAGCATATTGTGAGTGTAGTGCTTATAAAATTTGTATAAATGTAGTAAAAAATGCTGTTTTCTCTTTAAACGAAATACGCCCTGATGCTCATGACAAGTATAAAAAAAAAAAATAAATAAAAAATAGGAGCATGCATAATGAGTAGGACCAATGATCCATCCATCCATTTTCAAACACGCTTATCCCAAGTGGGGTCGCAAGGGGTGCTGGTGCTTATCATAATGGGTAGGACCAATGATATCAGATCAATTCAATTTAAGACCAATAGTGTCCCTACCAAAATTGAGCTCAAACCTATGCCCTTGGAGAGAGCACTGATGGTTTATGGTTTGCAGGTTTGAGAGGAGAGGGCAGAAGGGAGACAGAAGAGAGGATGGCAGCAGGGGGCGAGAGAGAGTAAACAGGGAAAATAGAAAATGAATCTAACATTAGAAAAAAACAAACTAGAGACAAGGAATACATAAAGCTGAATTACTACAAATCACCCAACTAATCAAAAACAAAAATTAAGAAAACAAGAAAAAAAACTGTGTCTATAAATTGAAAGCTCCTAGGCCTAGTTCCTGTTTAGATGTGAGTAAAACATTCAATCTAAAACATATTCACACAGGTTAACGTAAGGTTATTCTAAACTAAATCCTTAGCAGCATCTATATTGAAATATTTAATCAACTGAATTTCTCATGGCTGCTTATAAAGTGTGGTTAGAATAAGCTGATTGATGATGCAGAGTGGAGCCCATCTATTGAAAAGCTCACTCCAACATTGAACTGCAGGAGAAAACTGCATAGCAGCACAATCCCACTGCTGGCTTCCCTCCATAAAACACTGGTGCTGATGCTGGGAGGGAGAGAAGAAAGGAAGGAGGGAGGGGGTACAAAGCCCCCTGCGTCTCCTTTCTTTCTTCAGGAGACAAGTTGGAAAGAAAGCAAGTCTGACACCGGAAGACAGGCAGTAACGTTTCAAAATAAAAGCCACCACATTACATCTTTTTTTTTTTTTTTTACCTTTTAATTCCCTATTAATAATAATAAAATATATATATATATATATATATATATATATATATATATATATATATATATATATATATATATATATATATATATATAAAACAAAATAAACAAAATAAAAATAAAAACTTAATGTTGGAACTGTAACTATACAGTCATATGTTTACATCACTTTTTTTTCACCGGTGTTTTTTTATCACAATGTTTTTATCACTGCTGCTTACCTTTATCAAGGCTGCACTTAAAAAAAATACAGAGAGCCGTACTAAACTAAATTTCCTTTTGTATACAATTGTGTGTACTAAATGACAAAATAAAATCTGTCTAAGTCTAATAATTTATAGTATTAGTAAATGAATACGGCACAGCGCGGTCTAGAAGGGGGGCCAGGGGTGGTCATGGCCACCCTTACCCAATTATTGGCCACCTCTACCGTTTTTTCTCTCTATTACAGATGGTGGCAGCAGTGATACTCTCTAGTGGAATTTTCAAAACATTTAAATTTTTTGTGGTTAATTATACACATCAATATACTAACATCAAAGATGATAAATACAGATTTCATGCTCTTTTCAGAACTAGATTTTGTTTTTAAATGGGGTAAAGAGAAAATGTGCATCAGGGAGTCTTCAGTGAAACATAGATAAACAACAATTTTAATAAAAACTTATCAGTAAATATCAGTTTTATGCAGAATGTTTATTGATACATGTAAGTAAGTAATGATGATGGAAAAGATTTATGCCCCATATCTCAAAACTGAAAGAATTTTATCCATTATACCTTTTATTTAGAACGCACGGATGTTTAAATATATGCATCTACTTGTAAGCAAAGGCTGTAGGAAAGTATAGTTCGTCTTTATTTAGAAAATATGGATGTTTTGCTCGTTAATTTTCCTGTTGGAACAGTGTAGATTGACCCTGAGGTCCTGGCGCCTATCTGCTTTTGGCCACCCCTCAGTGTACGATGGTTATTGCCACCATTATAAAAAATATCTGGCTATGCCTCTGATACAGCATGAAAAACTCCCATCATCATTTAAACATAAATAGTATTATTGAAAAATATTTTATTTGTATAGTTAATTTGTTAGCTTATTTATGTTGTTTCTGCAGGACGTTATCCAAAAATATACATTTTAATTTCATTTTCACAAATTTCACTGAATAGATTATATGACAAGACTTATCTCTTATAAACAATAATCAGCTTTGAACCACACCTCCACGAAAGCCAATCAGCATCCAAAGTTCATCTTAAAAGGCCTCCGATACGCACTTGTCTGCTCCTGTGTGCAGGCGGCGGATGCGCTGTGACTTCATTCAGATGACACCATTTCAATCCACCTCCAGCCCCTCCTCCACTATAGCTAAAGCTTCATCAGAGTGTCATTCCTCCCGGACTCTAACTGCGTTCCCTGTCTCATCTTAACCGGTCCAGCAGAAGACCGCCATGTTGAGCCTGGTTCTGCCAGAGGTTGCTTCCCAACAGGGAGTTTTTCCTCTCCACTGTCGCTTCATGCTTGCTCATCATGAGGTTCTGTCATCCAAACTGGACTTCCATCTTCCAGGTCCCTGAGTGAAGCTCTAGTATCAGCTCACGCAGTCCACTGGATCTCCCCATAAAGCTCAGCAGTCTACAGACTGACCAACTTCATCTATCTCCACTCCACCACCAGTTTCAGGCCTGAGAGGGAAACAGCCCTATTCTTTGCTCCTGTTTATGCATATTTATCAAAATTAAGCGCTATGTTTCCTGCCGAGGTCTGAGCGCCAAAGACAAAGTAACAGTAGGAATAAATTTCTACTAATTTTCTTTTCTGTTCATGTGAGTTTGTCAGATTAAAATATTTTTGTCGATTCCGTTTATTTTAAGAACATCGTTCATGTCCTTTAATAGGCTGTGTTTTTACAACTAATTTTAACATTTCTTTTAGGAACATGTCTAAGACTCAGGGACTTATTGCTGATTTTAGTCCATAAATAATGAATTATGGACTATATGACAATTTAATTTTAATGTATTTTTTTATCTATATGGGGGTGAAAATCGTTATTTTATTTTGAGATCATCCACCGGAAGCCGTTGGATAGAAGTGCAAAGCTGACATGGTCCCAAGTAGAGTACAGTGCCTCTGCGGCGTTGAGAGACAGCGAGGAGAAAGGAGGGGATAGGGACTCTGTCTGCTTTGAAAAAAAAAAAAAAGCTCAGCTTTTTCTCTTTTTCATTTGTGAGAAAGAAAAGGAAAATACTTAAATACGATTTTTTAAATCCAGATACTCTTTAAAGCACCGTGGTGCGTCTGGATCAAAGTGGGATAGGTGGATTCATCAGAAGAGAGGAGGGTTTCTGATCTGATGCTTTTTGGAAATGATTCAAACAATAAATGCTAATGAAGGAGAAGGAAGCTGACTTAGGAGGATTCATCATTTGCTTTCTTCTAATTGACTTTATTTGTTCTGGCTCCTTCAAATCTGAGCTCATCAAGAAAAACTAATTTATTCACTGCAGGAGGAATTCTTACTTTAAAGTTAATTGACATCTAAAAGAATAATTATAAAAACTAAATTTCCATTAAGGAATGTGGAGACACTCTGTTGCAAAATAAGCTTCCGGTCTGATCTGCACTTTTTGTTGAATTTTTGTGGCATTTCTTGATATAACCGAGAGTGGATGATGGCCATCAACACCGACACCGACTTCCAGAAGTCCAACCTTGGCGCTGATGGAGGAGGAGGAGGCGCTCCGCCCGCGGACTTCCAGGAGACGGAGAAACTCCTGACGGTGACCACCGAGCCCGGAGGGAACGGGATGAAAATGTCCACCTCCTTCACTGTGCCCCCCGATAAGGCCCTGGAGGCAGATCAGAACGGCCACAGCGTCGGTCTGAGGTCGGGCTCCGTCGGGCAGCTGTCCGCCGCCGGCCACCTGTCTCCATCCAGGGCCAGCCTGAGCCGCTCCTCCACCGGGAACGCCACCGTCCCGGAGACCCCGAAGCCCAAGGATTACCTCATCCTGGTCATCCTGTCCTGCTTCTGCCCAGTTTGGCCCGTCAGTATTGTAGCACTGGTGTACTCAGTTATGGTGAGTAAGGATTTATTTATCAATAAAAACCAGTGGCGGTTCTAGACCAAATGTACCAGGGGGCCAGGAGGGGGCCAGCATGTTTCATTTGGGGGGCACAGAAAAGCATGAAATAAAAATAAAAAAACAGGACAAGGGATTCAAAAATATTAAGATAGCTGTATGAAGTGACATTTCTATTCAAGGTTTAATTAACATTCTCTGTCTTATTAGACTTAGACAGATTTATTTGTCATTTTGTTTACACAACTGTAAAACAAAAAGAAATTTCTTTTAGGACAGCTCCCGGGAAAATTTCATTTTTTTAAAAGTGCAGCATTGAAAAACAGTTTCAAAATATATATATATATAAACAGTAAAATATACATAATATATGATTTAAATTTAAAGTTCTAACATTTTCAGGTTTATATATATATATATATTAGTGCTGTCAATCGATTAAATTTTTTTAATCGCGATTAATCCCATCAATGCCTGAGTTAACTCGCGATTAATCGCATTTTAATCGCAAATTTTTTTTCTGATTGAAAATCATTTAAATACTCTCGATGAGATACAAAAAATACATACAGGCTAGGTTTGTGCCAATGTTCTTTTTTTAAAATGAAAACAGGTCACAGACATCGATTTATGCCATAGAAACATATGGCAAGAAGATGGGGAGGCATGTAGCAAAAAATAACAAATATGTAGCCAAAAAAAGGCCCTGAAAACAGGCTGATGTAAAAGACAGTCTTTACAGTTAATGCAGTCTTTTGAACAAAGACAAGCATTTTACCCTACTGCTATAAAATGTAGTACAGTTAACATTAGATGTTAATTAACCAAGATAATAATGAACAATTTTCAATCAATACATCAAAATCAATAGACCGACATCACTAGATGGAGGTAGTCTATGCTCTAGAAAGTTACTTTTCAGCCTCTTAACAAAAATGAGAACACACACACACTCACCCACCCACACACAGACACACCCACCCACACACACACACGATACCGACTTGTGGCGTACACAGACAGCAAGAGTGCCGTAGCAGATTCCCTTTCACCTCAGTATTCTGTTTTCTCAGCGTATTTCAGGTTGCTACTAGTTACCAGACACTCAACTTGTTTGTTGGTGGTGGGGCTTAAAGAAAAGGCACTAGCGCTACCCAGTGTATGAGCGTCTTTTTCCCTTGAGGAGCTCCGCTCTCGAAGCCTATGAGAAATGCATAGACTGGGGGAAATAGCCCCGCCTTTCCGCAGGCTGCAGCGGGATGTACTTGGAAAATTGTACCATAAAACCACATAGCGTTAATCTCACGTTAAAAAAATTATCGCCGTTAAAATGGCCTTGCGTTAACGCGATAATAACGCGATAATTTTGACAGCACTAATATATATATATATATATATATATATATATATATATATACACACACACACACACACACACACACACACACACACACACACACACACACATATATATATATATATATATATATATATATATACACACACACACACACACACACACACACACACACACACACACACACACACACATATATATATATATATATATATATATACACACACACACACACATATATATATATATATATATATATATATATATATATATATATATATATATATATATATAATTACAGTTTTCTATAAAATCTGAATTAGAACTCAAGAAAAACTGATAAATTCTACTGTAAAAATTAGAGTATTTTTTATTTGTTTTGAAAAAATCAGATAGCAAGTGAAAACTGGGATCATATCTCAATATCACTGAAGCTATCGCCTTATTGCTTTTAGATAATTAGTAAAACAGAATTTGTAAAGAAAAAAATATGAAATAGATCCAAAGAACCTTTCAGTAACCATGTCTGTTCCAACGCATATGATCATTAGAATTTCTTTGAGTATTATGGGCCAGGACATGATCTACAGGGCTCTGGCCCCTGTTGGCCCCCGTCTAGAGCCGCCCATGATAAAAACTACAAGAAAACATCCAAATGAAGTGATATGGAAGCACCTGGTAGGTTACGTTAAGTTTGCATTTACTAATAGTAATAATAATTGAACTTTGTTGATCTCACATTGGATAAATTTACCTTTACATTTAACCCATCCACTTGGGGAGTACAGGACAGTCACTGTGGGACAGTCAGAGGCGTAGCCAGAACATTTTTATAAGGGTGGCCGGGCGATAACCAGTGTACACTGAGGGGTGGCTGAAAATGGATAGGCAGCAGAACCTCAGGGTCAATATGCACTGTTCCAACAGGAAAACGAACGAGCAAAAAAATCAATATTTTCTAACAAACTATACTTTCCAACAGCCTTTGCTAACAATAAACATCCATGCTTTTTAGATAAAAGGTAAAGTGGATAAAATTCTTTCAGGTTTGAGTTCTGGGGTGAACATCTTTTCCAATGTCATTACTTACCTACTTTTATCAATAATCATCCTGCATAAAATTGATATTTACAAGCACTAATATCTACATTAATTGATTAGTAAATAGTTTTTTATTAAAATTGTTATTTATCTATGATTTCACTAAAGACTCCTAGATGAATGCAGAGACACATCATTTTCTCTTTACCCCATAAAACACAAAATCTAGTTCTGAAAAGAGCAGGAATCCTGTATTTACCATCTTTAATGTTAGTATATTGATGTGCATAATTAACCTCAGCGTTTTTGTTGTCAAGTAATTGTGAATATATGAAAAATAGTAAGTAATATATGAAAATTTAGAATGTTTTGAATATTCCACTTGATTATTGGGGGGGGATGGTTGGCTAAAGGTGGCCATGGCCACCCTTGGCCCCCCATCTAGCTCCGCCCCGGGGAGAGTTGTAAAATTGTGTGTAAACAATGTGTTTTAAACAGACACATCAGTTTGGGGGTCCTTGGCCTGAAAAACATTGAAGACCCCTGGTTTACAGTATAAGGTCGATGTTAATGATCTGAGACTAACATGCGACAGATTAAGTTGTGTTAGTTGTTGTCCTGTTGAAACACTAACTCTAAGTTAACTTCCTTAGAACCATGACTATTTTGATTTTTTTAAGTTTGCAGTGATAGAAGGGTTATAGTAAATAGACACTATCCCCATACCATGATACCTGATGCACCATGCATCAGAGGTTGCCTTTAATTCAGGCTTATCTGCCAAACTGTCTGTGAACATTAGCCCTGAGGCCATTGTTTCGAAAGATAAGTGTATTGAAATTGCCATTTTCAAATAGAGCAGAGTTTGTTAAAATTTAATAAAGCATGCACACATACAAGAGATTAATTACAAATAATGAAATTAGTACACCAATTTATATACATTTAAATTCCTCAATATACATTTTATTAGTCAGCTTAAAGGATCTGAAACAAACATGAAAATTCCAGGGCCTTTTTATTCTCAACTTAATTTAGATTAAATGCTTTTGTCATGTTGTTTGTGCTCCCTTTATGCAAAGACATCTGACTCTGATAAGGCAGTAAGCATTGATATTTTTTAAATTAGCTTTTCAAAACTACTGCTACATGTGGCCTGTAAAGATTTTTCCTGACGAATGTTAAACTTATATTGGTAGCAACTGCTGTTCAGAAGATAAAATGTCTGGAAAGTTTAACCTTGGCTCTGGTTAAACTATTTAAGAATGGATAGAGACTAGCTAAAATAGCTTTACAGGGTGTTATCCATAATAACCCATCCCCCATTGTAATAACTAGCCCCAGTTTGAATTAGTTCAGGGTGTCTGGGTTGAGGTGAGGAAGACTATGAGGCTATGAGGTGGGGTCTCATACATTCCTGCAGTAACCTGCTGAATTTGATGCACTTTTCACATCTGTACTCACCACAGACACAAACTGTTGCTCCTATATTGGTCCAGCAGGGACTCAGGATGCGAGGGTTGCCTGGGGCCTCTAATGGCACCGTGGGAGTGGCTGATATGGGGCTGCCTGCCCAGGCCCGGTATTGTCTTTGTGGTAACTCGTGTTGTGGATTGTTTAGACTGGAGGTATGCTGGGCTTGGTTGGGGGTCACAGGGCTGCTCTCCATCCTAACCTTTTCTGGAATGGCCCCTCATTGTACACATTATATAGCACTGTGAGCGAGTGCCTATCAGGTTTGATGAAGGCTCTGGTGTGGCCTCCCTCCGTTTAGAGAGCAATTGGGAAAATCACTCCTGTGTGGTGTTTCCCCGTGTTATGGGGACTTTTCATTGACTTCCATTCATATGTGTGGCCTAGTCCTTAGCATAGATGAGGAGAACATTTATTTTACAGTATTTCAGCAGAAAATTTATCTCTTTTTAATTTAAACAGATCAATCAGCTCTGATGAAGATGGCTGTGTTCGATTATACAACAGTAAAGTAACAATGACCTTGGGATTCCCCCCTATATTGTAATTAAGTTCTGCTGAGGTCTAAAAAGAGTATATAAAAGTTAAGTTAAATGTAATTCTTAAATCACTATTCTAGCTCCCTGATTTATAATTGAAAACGACATAAATTGTTTAAATTTTTAAAAGGCTTTTTAAAGCTGAAGGAAAAGTAGGCTCTGCACCAATAAACACTTCTAAATGTATCTACTGTATTTATTCATATCAAAAATAAAGTTGTTGGTTTGTCGACTTTGAACAGTGGGGTAAGATTAGGCTGATCTGATCATTGATTTGAGAAAATGCTCCTTTGTTATGGTAAGTGCTTCATAAATCTGCCATTTGATGTTTGCAGGATTTTGACATCTAAATGTACAAAACATTACAACTGTTTCCACTATAAATAAAGGATTAAATAACATTTAGATAGCTAACTTGGGACGACCTCGTAGGACAGCCTTACATTAACATATCACCACTATGACAGTTAGGAGGACCAATTATTTAGATGATCCACCCGGAAATAAAAGATCTTCCTCTATACCTTTAAATCATGTGTCAGGATGTGGGACACATATTGTAGAACACCTTACCTAGATAAACAATG